CGTCCTCGTCTGGTATCTGCTCGCGCTCGACCTGGGTGCTGCTGTCCTCCTCCTCGTCGTCGTACGGGTCAGGATCGGTTGCGCATTCCAGCGAAAGCTGCGCTCCATTCGGCATGAGGCTCCGCTGGAAGTATCGCGTTGGTTGCGAATAGAATGCGGTGCGCCGACAATCTGAGCACAAATGGCTACAAGACGTTCACGTTGGAATTGAGCGGCGATGTAAAGGGCGGATCCAGACCACCCCGAGTTGTCCTATCTCAAGCCGATTGGGCCTCTGCCTCTTGGAGACTTCTTGGGGCCCCCGGGCCCTATCGGGGCCTCTTGGGGCTTGGGGCCTCTTGGGGACTCTTGGGCCCTCATTTGTTTGAGGTCAGGTCAACCCCGTACATCGTGTTCGTTTGCTCGCGATGCAAGCAACCAGCGCTTATCGTAACACGGGTGTCTTCGACACGCCGACTCTGTTTGAACGTGCAAAATGCAAAGGGCGAGTGCAGAATCAACTGACAGGAAATGTGATGAGCATGCGGAGGAGGGGGAGGAGGATGAGAAGGACGAGGAGCGGGGGGAGGGAAATGAGCAGCCTTGATTGCAAGTCTGCTTCAGGCGCGCACAGTGCGGCAAGGACCTTCAAACTCGACTCGAATTGTTTCTGCACCATATCTCCCTGTCATCGCCCACCATACTGGCACGAAAATTATATGCCACGTGGATAAATTCGGCTTGGTATGAGATGAGATGAGGTTGATGAGGTTGGATGAGATGAGATAGGGTTAAGGTTGGGATGATGTTGATGAGGTTGGATGAGGTTGATGAGGTTGAGGTCACTGATGGGGTTGAGGATGAGATGAGGTTGGATGAGATGAGGTTTAGGCTTGGCCTGTTAGGCCCACGGCTACTGCCCTGGCAGGCTCAGACCTGGAGCTACGCCCACGCCGCCAGGAGCATCTCTGGCAATCGTTGCGCGACCAAGTGCTCTCCCAGGGGCACCGACCACGCCGACGGAGAGCTTCGTGTCGATATTCTGCTGCAGGGTGCCGATCGTCTTGACGAGGCGGTCGAGTTTCGCAGAGAGCACCTCGCGGTCCGTCTGCGTCTTGTCGGCGGCATTCTGCAGCGCGTCCATCTTCTCGCCCAGCGCGGCGATCGTCTCATAGAGCTTCTGCAGGTGGGTCATATCATTGACCTTCTCGCCCAGCTCGTCGATCTTCTCATTGAGCTTGTGCAGATCGATACTTTGTTCTTCGTGGGAAGCCGCTGCTGGCGATGCAGATGCGGCAGCCATCACCGTGTGCCGCTGCCATCGCGCAGGTCTGCCGCTGCCGCAGCTGCTGTCGCGCCAAACTTGCCACCTCCACGCTGCTCGAGCAACGCTTGCGCTGCCTCTGTCATCTTCTTCTGGTACTCTGGGCTCCACGCCCAGCGATATTCGGGATTCTCTTCGATCGTCGTGGTCTTGAACCATCCTTTCTGGTAGACTTGCCTCCTGCACTGCTCGGCGCGCCAGTTAATTACCTGATTCTGGTGCTTAGAGCCGAGGTGATTGCTGCTACTCACCCAAACCTTCTTGTTCGCGTAGCTGTGCGAACAGGCAATGCACGCGCACATGCCGTGCTCAGCCTCCCAGGAGAACCAAGGCGCATTGCACCGGTGCGCAGTCGCCCCCCATCCCACAACCACCGTCTCTGGAGCATGCTCGGGCACAGGGTACTCTAGGGCCATCCTCGCGCTGTCTGAACAAAGCTAGAAGCGCTAGCAGCCCCGCTGTAGAGGCAAAACGAAGGTCTAAGCAATAATGCTGTGGATGGGGTAGCTGATGCCGTGGCGACTGCGGGGGGGTGGCGGTCCAGGACCAGCCCCCTCTTCACTTGATGAGCATGGGGAGCAATGGTGCTCGGGACGGTGATGCTGATGATGATGCTGGTGATGGTGTTGATGATGATGATGTTGATGTTGATGATGAGGATGATGGTGATGACGACGACGACGATGCTGATGATGATAATGACGATGGTGGTTACGACGATAGCAATGATGATGAGGGTGATGCTGATGAGGATGCTGGTGATGATGCGTGATTGTCGGACGACGGGTTAGTGAGTCGTGTTACTAGCCATACCTATGTACACCACCAGCGACATATAACGTGGTACTATGGGTGGTGATACATATGGCGAGTGGTTAATGCGATCGTAGGAATGCCATGGTGGAACAAGGGCCCCAACGGGAGCCCCGACTGGCACAAATGAGCCCCAGGCACCTCGCGGTGCACACGAACCCCATCGATCGTTTCGGTGCACCCCCTGCGCGCAAAGACAGACGGCTCGAGCAGCATGTAAGCTCTTGCGACAGGCGATTGAGGTAGTCTGCAGCAAGTGCACGCACGAAAATCTGTAAAATCTGGCCTCGGTCAGCCCCCGCCAGCCGTATTTTTCACATGCATGTTCACATGCATGTGAAATTGAAGATGAAACTTCCACATGCATTTTCACATGCATGTGAAATTGAAGATGAACCTGTTTCATATGCATCGCACCCTGTGTTTTTACAGGTCCGACGCGTTTCACATGCATTTTCATATGCATGTGAAACGCCTGATTTTCACATGCAATGTTTTGCTCCAGTTCAGGGCAAAAGGGACCGGGGCCAGAAAAATATGGACCGGGCAGCGGCATTGCAGGCTCGGACTGGGAAAATGCGATGAGATGAGGAGAAATCGAGGAGGATGAGCTCAGGAGGGGGAGGAGTGCACATGAGGAGAGGAGGATGCTTAAAACTGCTGGACACGGTGGGAGTAAAGAGCTAGGATATTGGAAAATAGGAGGCCGGCAGGGGAATGTCCAGGCAGCCTGGCGTCCTACCAAGCATTGGGTGCCGAGGAGGCAAATTAACCTAGTTGTAGGTCGTCAGGAAAGACTATGACTACTGGCGCATGGCCAATTGAATGACTCGCCTCGCGCCGTATGATAAAGTTGGCGCTTCGTATAATCACGCCAACACCCTGACACTGGCATTCTAACACCCTGATCAAGGGCATTCTAACACGGGCTAATCACGCCAACACCCTGGAGCATGATAAAGTTGGCGCTTCGTATAATACTCCTCATTCCACCATGTCCGTGGATCCACCATCCACCTGGGAGAATCGACCTGGGACAGGAACGACTTCAGGAAACGATTCGGGCCGCCTCCTGAAGTCGCCCTTGTCCCAGGTCGCTTTCTCCTCGTCCCACTGCTGCTGCCGCGCCCACATCTTCGCTTCGTTTGCGTCGTGTGCTGCCTCGGAGGAGGAGGAGGAGGAGCGAGGATCGAGGGGGGGGATGAGGAGGAGGGGGGGGAGGAGGGGGAGGAGGAGGAGGAGGGGGAGGAGAAGGAGGAGGGGGGAAACAACACATTATCTCCTGGCGCGCGTGCTCCCGAGAGCCTCATGTGGATGGGCAAAACCGATATTTGCCATGCCCCTTTTGGGCCCAGGATCTGCGCAGGCGCCCTCGCCTGGGAAGGGGATGGAGATCCTGGGCCCATGAGGCGCATGGCAAAGGTCGGCATTGCTCCCCCCGATCCCCCGTTGGAGCGCGCGGTTGCTGCGAAAAAACTTCACCATGGCGCCTGCTGCTCCCCCCCACGATCTCCCGCTGACAAAGGTGCGGCGGATGGGGGGAGGGGGGCAGGTGGACGCTGTGCGGACCGCCCCCAAACCTCCAGCAACCTGGAACAAAAACCAGCACCGACCCATTTTTGTTCACAAAAAACAGCATCGCCCCAGGAAAGGGCGCAACTTGGATCGGCGTTCAAAAACCTTTGGGGGGGGGGGGGGCGAAACAATCCTCCAGAACCCAGCGGAACTAGGAAGGGGCCTAAATTGGAGCGTCGTTCCAAAACCGATGCATTACTCAGGAACCCCGCGGAGCTTTATTTCAGGAAGGGGGGTCGCGGAGGAAGGCAATGCATGATGAGAATGAGGGAAAATTGCCACGAGCCAGGGAGACGATGGCAGGACGTAAAGTTGAGTGGGGTTGAGTATGGGGCTGGGCCAGGGGGGAGTGCCTTGTCTTTGCTCGCCCTCTGTGCTCGACACCTCGCTCGATTCGAAGCACCTGGCCGAACTTTTCGGAACTCGTACCCGCGGCGCGGGTTACGGGCGGGCTGGACGGCGTTTAACAGTCGGGGACAGTAGTGTTTCAATAGGGGGCAGTCGGGGACATCGACGCTTCTGGCGTAACGAAGGAATCAGTATGTACATCAGCCGCAGGGCGTAAATCACACGCGTGTGGTTTGGCGTGTGACTTACGCCCTTCGCACCCCCACCATTCCTGGAGTCTGGAAATATTCGGGGCCCTTCGGGGCCCTTCGGGCCCTCGCAGCCCTCTCGGGGCCCCCCAGGGCCACCTTGAGCTCCGCTTGGGGCCCCCCCTCGCACTCCTGCGGGAGTGAGAGGGGGGCGAGAGGAGCGAGAGGAGGACGCGGAGGAGGGGGGGGAAGGGAAGGGGGGGACTGAGAGGAGGACGAGGCGGAGGATGATGGATTAGTGAGGAGTCGGCCTCTGACGTCGGGCTGGGACGACGTCGGGTTGGGACGCTGGGCTGGCGCCCTCGGGCTGGGGCGTCGGGCTGCATCACTTGCGCTTGTCGTTGGTGCCTGCGTCCTCGTCCTTGCCCGTGTCCTTGTCCGTGTCTTTGACCGTGACTCCGCCGCCATTGACGAGCGGCCTCCACTTCCACATCTCTCTCACTTCCCCAGCGTCTAATGGGCCTTCGGTTGGGCGTCAGGCTTGGGGGCGGCCTTCTTGTCTTGGGCGGCGGGCTTGGCGCGGGCGTCCTTCTTGGCGTGGACGGCTTTCTCGGCGGCGGGCCGGCGCCCGCGCGCGGCGGCGGGTTTCTTCACCCCCTCGCGCGCGGGCGAGGTGGGCGCCAAGCCTGCGCGAGCCGCGGGCGGCGCGAACCGTTTTCGAACCAAACGAGTACGGAGGTCGGGCTGGGCGTCGGGCGGGGGGCGGGGCGTCGGGGGCCCTTTTCCGCCTCCCCCATCATTGGAAGTGCATCTTGCGGCACAATATTGGACAATGCGCGGGCGCCCCGCGAGCACTTTGCACCCTTTTTGAGAGGGGCGGCGGGGGTGCCCGCATATTGCCTGCCATGTGCAGGCCTGGAACAATGCCACCGCCGCACCCGGCCACCCCTGTCGAAAAACCATACGAAGTGCACTTTGCGGCAAAATATTGGACCATGCGCAGGCGCCCCGCGATCACTTTGCATTGTGCGTTGATGAGGATGGTGTTTGGCGCGCGCGGGCCAACGACCCCTTTCAAAAACCAATGCAAAGTGACAGCGGGCGCACATGCCAGACACCGTGATTTCCACCCCGCCGCAATGCTGCATCGGTTTTTGACAGTGATGGTGGGGGTCGGCATGGTTTCCGACATGTGCTGTCACGTGCACGTGCGCACGTGGCCCACTCTGCGCGCGCCGCGCGCCTGGCGCGCCTGGCGCGGGCGAGGCATGTGGCGCACTTGGCGCTCATGGAGCACGTGGCGCATCTGGCGCACAAGGCGCGCCTGGCACGCTTGGGCCCCGCGGGCGCCAAGCGCGCCCGGTGCGCGCGGAGCGCGTGGCGCACCTCGTCAGCGTCGCGCATCTGGCGTCTGTTTTGGTTCCCAGTGGCTGTCCATCCAATGGCGACCCCTGGCTAAGCCGAGACTCGGGTGCTCCTTATGTGGCGGGAGAGCGGGTGGGAGTGATCGAGACGGCCTGCGGGCGGGTCGGTAGCTCGACCCCTCCCCCGTATACCCCCTCCCCTGGACCTGGACGGGGGGGGGGGCGCGAGTCGTCAGACAGCCCAAGATGGCTCCAAGAGGGCCTCAGTGAGCCCAAGATGGCTTCCAAGATCGCTCAAGATAGCCCAGCATGGCTCAAGATAGCAACAACATGCCTCCAAGAGGACCGAAGAGGGCCGCAAGGCGGATCCACGTGAGAAGGGCTCAGGACTTCCCCGAGAAGCCAAAACCTTTCAACAACCAACTGAAAACCAATGATTTGTTTTGCCGTGTCGCCTTTTCGCTTCCGACGCGCTTCTGAGGCCTCAAGATGGGCCCAAGATGGCCCAATAGAGCTTCAAGAGGGGCCCAAGAGGCCCCCAAGACCGTCCGTGCATGAGTTCACGCCGATAGGCGTGAACCCATGCACGGACGGACAGGTCGGTGGCCGCACGGGCCTGGGCCTGGATCCGTTGAAGCCTGGACCTTCTTGGGCATGTTCCAAAACGGTTGCGGTGAGGATGAAGGCGGGGGAATGGCGATGATGCCCCGAGACTGACTCGTGATTTCGGTGTTCAGTGTGGCTTATCCAAAAGCGGACGGATTCCCCATGCATTTTCACATGCATGTGATGTCGCGTGTGATCTCACGCCGCGGTTCGTTTCTCAAGGTTACTTGTGAGACGGCGACGCCGCGACAACGATAACGACGAGACGTCGACGACGACCACGACCACGACCACGACCGCGACAATCACCACGACCACGACCACGACCACGACGACGACGACGACCACCACGACCACGACCACGACCACGACCACGACCACGACCACGACGACCACGACGACCACGACCACGACCACGACCACGACCACGTTCACGACCACGACCACGACCACGACGTCGCGACGACGAACACGACCACGACCACGACGACTCGACGACGAACACGACCACGACCGCGACCA